TCCTTGGCAGCTCCAAGGATTTGGTTTACCTCCCCATCAGCTCTGGGCTTACTGGCCTCATCTGTGGCATGCTCCCTATGCTTCTTGGTATTCCCTCCTAATTTTCCTTCCTTTGAACATCTCCAATCTATTCTGTCTCTGTTTCTCACATGCCTGTCATTGTATAGCAATTATGGTTAGAGAGTTAAAAGCCTTATCAGCTCCTTAGTGGGAGAAGTGTGAGTCAGCTCCTTGCAGGACTATGTGGTGGTTCAAAAAAAGTAATGTGGTTTTTTGGGGTTTTTTTTGTGCATGGAGGCTTCTTTAATCCAAAATGTAAACCAAAAAACTGAAAAAAGCCAGGTGGGTATTCAGCCTGCACTTAAAAGGTTAAAAAGTCCAGAGTTAGAGCTAAATGTGCCAACCTCATGCCATCCTCCCAAGTTGAGGGAGCTACAGTGGACAGACAAGCAGTAAAATCAACATTCAGAAGTTATTGCCTTCATTCTTTCCAAAATGATAAGAGGCTTGAAAATCTCACCTATCTTCAGTCAAGACAAAATTTCAGGTTTCAGTCACACAGCGAGCTCCCCATGCATGCAGAGTCAGAAGCACCTTGTCCTGCATCTCCCTTCTTTGTGTGCAGAGGGTCCTGCAGCTCCTGGTGGTTATCCTCACTGAGCTTGCTGTCTATCTTGAGGCATGAAGATATCTGAAGGGCCTGGAAGTGACTCTGGAAATCCCAGGGACAGGAGCAGAATGAAGCACGAGCACAGACCCTGAGAAGAAGGGTGACAGCTTTGTAATTCCCCAGTGTTCCTGGGGATTGAGCCTTTGTAACCCAGGTTTTAGGATGATCTGATGAGTCTCTTGGTTTTCTTTCTTTTTCCTTTTGTGTTTGCAGGGAAAAGCATGAAAGTGTAGGTGCCAAAGTTTTAAATAAAAATTAAAAATAATCTTCAGATATGCTGTGTGTTTTAACTCACAGTTTTTAAGTAGCTTGATTGCGGGAGGTGTTGCAGTAAATCTGGCTTGTGACTTTTTTGATCACCTTGGGGATGGCAATATTGCAGGTTTCTCAGGCCAGACTAGAAGGGATCTTGTTGGGCAAGAAGAGCAGAAGGAAAAAGCAGGAGCCTGTCTTGGAAGCACCAGACTTTGAATTGCAAAACCCCATCCTGCGGTGTTCACGTTGCCGGAACAGTTATCCAGCTGATTTCCCACTGTGCAGCCGGTGTCCTGTCAGTCCTGGCTGCTCCACACCAGCAGAGCTCCATGTCCCACCAGGACTGGCAGCAGCAGCACAGACCCATCGTGGGTGAGCCGAGGTCTCTGCTCCCTCCTGAGGCAGCAGGAGTGGCTCTGCCCTTTGCACATTGCTCCTTCTCCCCTGTTGTTCTTCCCTGCCTCTGGCCACACAGCCGCCTTCCCAAAAGTTCTTCTCAGCAGATGTTTCTCCAGATGTGCCCCCTGCAGAGGTGTGCATGTACCATTTCACTGTCAGGGCTGGTGTGACCGCACAGGATTGCAGAGCCCATGAAGACTGGCACATTTCTGAATGTGATTGTTCTGTTGTCTGTGATTTGACATCTTTGGTTTTGCACCTTTTGATTCGCCGAGCAGCGATGTCACCCTTGGAGAAGCCTCTCTTTCAACACTACATCAAAATGAACCTGTTGGGGTGAAAAGTTCATTCTGCCTGCTCTGGGTCTATACATGCTGCACCAATTTTTCATCTTCTTTAAAGGTTTTTTTCCCTCTGTTTTTTTCCCAAAAGAAATGTTTTGAAAGGGAAGAAACTGAGAGTCAAGATGTGCATTTAGATGACATCAACTGCATCTATTTTGAGGGCTATTTATGTGTTAGTCTACAGTTACTAAGCATTGTTAGATACTGGACTCAGTGTTTTTTGAGGTGTTTTCCAACCTTAGTGATTCTATGATTCTGTGTCTGTCCCTTGAAGTGTTCAACAAATACATAGATACCGTGCTTAAGGATATAGTTTAGTGGAGGGGTTGGCAGTGCTGGGTTAATTGTTGGACTTGATGATCTAAGAGCTCTTTTCCAACCTAAATGATTTTATGCTAAGTATTCCTGGGTCTTGACAGATCTAAGGAAACAGGTTTTCCAGGCCTGGAGATCCAACCATTGAGGTGACCACAAATTGCTTTTATCCAAATACTGTTTCTAGCAGTCAGTGCTTCCCTTTTATCTGAGAAGATGATGGTGCTAATATTTTTCATGTGGTCCAGTCACCTGTTTCCTGTTGACTTTTGTCTTTTTGGATCATGTCTGTGTGCAAGCTGGTGCTCCTCTGTGGCCAAACACTGCACCATGTCTCAGACAGCCAGCAGGTGCAGGGCCACAGGGACCAAGGGCAGCAAGGGCAGAGCAAGGCAAGCAGAGCTCTGGGGTCCCTTCTGACCCAAGTCATTCTGTGATTCTGCTCTGGAAGTGATCTATCAGAATTTGTTGGCATTTTAAGTCTTAAAAACACCCCCCAAAAACCCAACCCCACAAGTCTCTGTTCTCAACAGACCCTTTCATTTTAAGGATGTAGGGTTTTACCTGTGTTGTTGTCTGTCCTGACAACCATTGCCCAGCCTCACCCTGAGGTCAGTGACCCCTCCAAAGTGCTGGTCCCCTTGGATCCTCTCCAGGTTACAGAGAAGCATTCCTGCCAGCTCTCACAAGAGGCAGGAGCTGGGCTGGAAATGCCTGTTGCGTTTCAGCGACAACTGCACTGGTGCTTGCTTTGTTGCATACTAATGAACACTAATTAGCCCCGGCTTGTTATCAACTTTGTGTGGGAGCCGTTTGCAGAATGCAGGGATGGGGGCTGGGGACACCTCAAGGGGCTTCTGCCCTCCTCCAAGGGGCGACCTCCTGGGTGGATGAGGGCTCAGCTGGTGCTCCTTGTGGTAACACCTCCGTTGGTGAGCCACAGGAAGGCTGTGCCTGCTGGCCTCATGCCAGCCTTGGTAGTGGTCCACCTGCCAGGTGTGTTCCCCCTCTAACATGGCAGAAGGTTACAAGGAGTTATAGGGGATTTTGTCTGTAAACCCACCAGGGCATGGGGAGGAGCTGAGCCCCTTGGAGGCTGGGCAGTGCTCACCTTCAGGTTTTCTCAGCATCAGAGGTTCAGTGCCCCTTTCCTACCCCCATCTCCACACAGTCCATTGGTCTCTGAATTGCTCAGCTGGAACCTCTCTCCTCCTCTCCACTGCACTTCCAGCATTGTAGCAATCCTGGCATTCAGTGCAGCAGCTGGATATCTCCTGCACCCATGGCTCTTGTCCAGTCACTCAGCCTGAGCTATGGAGGGCATGAAAACTCCCAGAGGATGAGCCTGCTGCAGAGGGGAAACACCACCATGATTTGCCACAAGCTAGAGAGAAGGAGGCTTGATGGAGCTGGGTGGCTTCAGCACTCTTGAAAAGCATGTCTTTACACACCATGTGTGTAAAATCTTCAGTCTGGCTGATGTGTGATACTGTGGTTGTAGGACACAGCGAGCTGATCTCATGCTAGGGGAAGTTCTGTCAGGGGCAGGACGGTGCCAGGACCTGCAGTACCTGAAGGCTTCTGCCAGCAGGAGAGCTGGGGTTATTGCTTCAGAGGTGGGTCTGCTAATTTTGGACAAGTAGCCCACTTAGCTTGATGTGCTTGGGCTGGGACTTGTAAACAACTGCTCTGAAGCTGAAAAATCAGTCTACACTTGAACTGAGAACAACACCTGTAGCTTTTCTGGCATTTGAATCCTGATTATGCCCCGTGACAAACACCAAGTTTCACACCAGGTCCTGGTGACAGTGCTTCTTTTTAATTTACTCTTTCTTTGCTCACATAATGACAGGAGTTTTTCCAAAGAAAGGACTTGGGAGGAGAGGGCATCAAAATGTCAGGAGCAGCAACAGGGAAGGTTGGCCAGGTACAGGGGATGCTCAGCCAGGGAGCAGCACCGAGGAGCTTGATAGAGATAATTTTTTCCTCCCACCTGTTGTTAGGAGCAAGTAGGGAGCGAGCTGTTGTGCCTCCTCCCCAGCTGCTAACGACAGGAGACTCTCTTATGGTCGTGTGCTGGAAGCTAATTAAACCTGGTGACAATGGTAATTGAGTAAGGATGCTTGAGGATAAGTATGACCTCATGTCTAAAATGGTAATGAGGCCTATTAAAATCCACACCAAAAAGAGAAATGAAAGGGGGAACAGAGGCAAAGGTGGTGCAAAGGGAGCAGGAGCAGGCAGGGACAAAACCTGGCAGCCAGAGCACCGGGAGGGAGGGAGAGCACAGAGGTGTCAGGCTTCTCCATCTCCTTAATAAACAGCCAGCTCTGCAGGTAGCCAGGCTGCATCTCGGGCCAAGTCAGCCAAAACACAGCGTTCAAGCACCTTCCCCTCTGCTCACCCAGGCCTGGGTGTAGGTCCTGGTAAGCGATGGCAGCACTTGTCGCTGTTTGTTGTTGTCTTCACTGGCTGGTTCTCTGCTGGAAGAAACCAGCATGTCACTGCCAGCACAAGGAGGGTACTTGCAAAATGACCCTGAAATTGCTCCTGAAAATGACCCTGAAAGTGCAGGAAAATGCATTGGCAAAGGAAAGATGCAAGTGTTCAGGGTGCTGTGCCATGGCTCCTTCTTGGACTAGCACAGCACCTCATTTCAGCTCCCAACTGGGATATAGGGGCTGGGGGCCACTGTGACCCTCCACAGGTGTTGTTTTGCAGGTTGGTGTAGCAGTGCTGGGGGTGCCACCGTGCTCTGTGGGAGCCCTGGTCCTGAGCTGACTCTCCTTGCTGCGGAGGACACCCAAGGGACGCTGGCAGGGGGCACTCCCTGTCCTGGCTCTGGACGTGCATCCAACGTCCACTTTGGGTAAGCTCAGCCTCAGGCTGTCCACAGACCCTCCTCTGCTGACAGGGGGGATGTGGTGTGCGCTAAAGGTGTCTTCTCACTGGAGAAAGGCAATGCTCATCCTCCCAGCAGGGCAAAGGTACGGCTGGATGACGGCTGAGGATGTGCTATGGAGCCGGGATTCAACTGCTCTGAGCTCTGCGATGGCAGCTCCAGCTTTGGCAGCCAGGAGCAGCAGCAGCGGGCCCTGCAGGAGCTCTGCACTGTGACAGTGGTATGTATGGATACAGTGGGATGTACGGGTGCAGAGGAGTGCTCTGGGGAATGAGGTTTGCTCTGCAGAAGCAGATTTGTGGGAGGGATGAAGAGGAGGGTGCAGCTGCCAAGCAATCCCAGTCCAGCTGAAGGCAGCACACTGTCACCTGGTTGATAGAAAGACAAGACACACCAGTCTAGGTGACACCCAGCAGTTATCCAAAGGGGAGAAAGCATCCATGACAGCCAAGTCATGTTAAGCAGCCCTCCCATGTGTCAGCCAGCTGCTCAGGATTGGCCTGTGATGGCCCCATCTCCCCTTGACCTTTCCTGTCCCCTCTAACTTCAAAGTGCTTTTCAAATATGAGTAGAGCAGGATTTAATTAAAAGTCATCCTCTGTAATAAGTGGTACTTTCCCCCTCCACCAGTAAGGCAGGGGTAGAAATGACACTGGGATGCACTCAGTTGCAGCTGGCACCACGTGGGGCTGCTGCATGGAGCAGTGAGGCTTGGCCCACTCGGGTCTCCATCACGTCCTGCACGACCATGGGCCTTTAATTAAAAGACTGTAAGCTGCTTGGCTCCTCTGGCTCTGGCAGCCGGCTTACAATTAATATTCCCCCTGCCAGGACCAGGATTTACTGCGCTCAGCAGCCAGCAAAGCGCTCCATCAACTTCAAGTAGCATCAACATCCAGGGAAACAGCAGTCAGGTGGGAGGGTGTGTGGGAGAGAAAAAGCGGAGATCATAGGGGTGTTTCTGATCCCTAGGTGGTTGCTGGGAATAGGGTGCAGCAATACTTTTGACAGCAGCCAGAGGTGAAAAGATTTTGTTAGTGGGTACATCTGGGAGTGAAGTGCAGAAGCCCCAGGATGTTGAGTTTGCCCTGCTCACCTCAGTGGCAAAAGCCAGGTGTTACCCTTGGGCTCGAGCAGGCAGGACACAGAAATAGAATGGCATTACAGCCTTGCACCAGCCCTGTCAGCTCCAGACCTCATCTGGGCCGAATGATGGGGTTTTCACACAGAGAGTCCTGGTGTAAGCAGGGCACTGACATGGCTGAGCGTCTTCACCATCTGGTGTGGTCTTCATTTCCCAGAGAGGCAAAAGACTCCCCAGGGAATAGCAAGAGGGAAGAGGAGGGGGGAAGCAGTTTTCAGGAGGGAGATGAGGATCCCCCCCAGGGATCCCTCCACACTGCTGCAAAGCAAGGCTGAGATGTGCATGCAGCTGTATCCCAGCAGCAGCTCTCAGCTGGATGTCTCTCCCAGGCAGGGGTTTGCCTTTCCCAGTTGCCCTGTGATCAGTGTGGCACCAGCATGTGAGCTGCCAGGAGCCTGCAGATCAGCTGTGCTCGTGTGGCAGTGACACGTTTTTTTGTCAAGAATTATGTGGTGGCTTTAATTCTGCAAGCTGTGCGTTGTTCTTGCTCGCCCAGAGGAGATGAAGCCTGGCTGGGGAAGAGGGACATGAGGCATTGGCTCTAAACAAATGCCTTTCTTCTGCTTGAAGATTTATTTCTAGCAAGGTTGGAAGCAGAAACAGCTCAGACCTTGAAGTAAAAATTGGGAGTTTGGGGCAGTGTCAACTGTCCAGAAAAGTTCTTCTGCAATAGAAATTAGAGGACTCAGCGCCAGAGAAGTTAGTGAGGAGGTGTGTGATCCCAACTCAAACCCCATTCTCCTCCCTCCCCCCTTAAAGGGGATGTGCCAGCACTTTTATTGAAGTGATGCTTTTTTTAAGGGAGAAAAAGTTGGTAATCTACACATGCACACACTGTTAAAAATGCTGGAGCATTTTAGATCAGCAGCGGAAGTAGGTTTCTTGTTTCACATGGGATCATTTTATCCGTTTTATGTTAATAAGGAGATAGCAGAGATTATTTTAAATGGAGATTTAAACCTATAAGGAGGTTTGTGTGTAAGGAGAGAGGTGCCTCCATCATACCCACTTTGGGAGTGTCCCACCAAAGCCAGTTCTCAGCTGATGCCTGCCTGGGACCAAGTTAGTTTCCATCTGGCTGGGAGACGGGTGGATTCCAGCTCAGTGTGTCACCACCTCTGAAAAACGCAGTCACACTCCCTGTGCTGTGCTCCTGCACCGACTGGCAGCCCTGCTGCTGGCTCCCAGGCACGTCCTCCAGCTGATCAGTTGTCTGCTGCAGGGAAGGGTAAGCGGAGGAGCCAAGAAGCATCTAAACAAGCATGATACAAACTGGGGCACCATGGGGCCTTCCTCCAAAGATTTGTTTCCAGAGGACAGTGGGGAACCAGTGTCCATGTTCCTGTGTTTCAGAGGCAGGGCTGCCTGAGATTTATGAATCACTTGTACAACTTCATTATGGATTTGGCTAGTTGGCATAAGAAGAGCGCTCCTGGACTGCCGTGTCCTCCTGAACACTCAGCAAGTGACAGAGCACATGTCCTGTCCACACACATCTCAGTAGCCCTACCTGCAGGACTCGGTCTGGGCCAGAGTGTCTCCTTACTGGGAGCTGTGTGTTCTGGCTGAGCAGGATAACTGTGGGAGGGATCATGCTGGAGTAGGGACCCTCTTTGCTAAGAGCCCCAGCAATGTCCTCTTCTTCCTTATCCCTTTTGCTTCCTGCAGACATCGTTTGACCGCAGTATGAAGAGCTCCCCATCCTTCTCTGCTGGTCTCCTGGGAGTTGTGTGGACATTCCTGACTGGAGGAGTCCTGCTAGCACTCTTCTTTTTCATCTTCACTATTCGCTTCAGGAAAAACAGGTAAGGGCATCCCTCTTCTCCTGGGAGGTTTCCCCTGAGCTGGAGTAGCAGAGTCAGGCTCTTTCAGGAGCATGCTCTGAGCTGATGACCAGCCAAGGATCAGGAGGGTGTAAGCCTGAAGGAGCAGCACAGGGCAAGAAAGGGCAGTGCCAGGGATGTTGCACCTTCTTCCATCACACAGAGCTTTGATCACTGGTGGAGACAGTCCTGTTTGGACTGTTCCTTTCCTTCCCAAGGCAGGGAGCTGTAGACAGGATGAAAGGAAATGGCCCCAGGAAATGCATCAGGGGAGGTTCAGGTTGGGCACCAGCAATAATTTTTTCACCAAAAAGATTGTCAAGCATTGGAACAGTCTACCCAGGGAGGTGGTGGAATAACCATCTCTGGAAGTGTTCAAGACTGGATGTGGAACGTAGTGCTGTGGTTTAGTTCTCACAGTGGTGTTTGGTCAAAGGTTGCACTTGATGGTCTTGGAGGTCTTTTCCAAACTTAATGGCTCTATGACTCTATGGGTGCCTTCTGGCACAGACAGTGCTGTATGGTCTCATCCAGGTGCTACTCAATAAAGCCATCAACAGGAGTTGGTAAAAGGAGAGCTCAACTCTGCTCCACATGCTTGAGAGCATCGCTCTGAGCAGCACAGCCCCACAGCAAGACCAGCATACTCCCCACAGTGAGCCATGTCCTCCCTGCTGTTGGGCCACTCATATTTTGAAGATATTGATAACCCTTTTTGTTCTTGGTGGTTGCTCGTATTGGTGGAGAACATGATCTCCATTACTGAGAGAAGCTGGTGGTGAAGTTTAGACACTTTTTTTGGTGCTGTTCAGTCTGCACAGAGGAGATAAAAAGTCCTTCTCCCCTGAAGGCAGCATAAATCCAGCAGAAGGCTCAACAGTTCCTCATAGCTCAACCTGTCTCAGCCAGTGCTGACCCTTCCTCAGCAATTCTGGATGTCCCTGCTGCCTCTTTGCCACCTTCTCCTCAGCCTCATTGGCCCCTTAGTATTTCAGTTGCTTCCTCCTCCAGGGATACATCCCTCTCCCAGGCTTCACCCAGCGAAGCCTTTGCTCTCCATGTGCCATTGTTTCACACAGAGGTGTACATCTGAGTGCCACCTGCACTGATGTTGTTGGACTTCTCTGGTGGCTTTAAGGAATTTAGAAATTTCTTAATGCTCCTGGCAATCACAGTGCAGTCAGGAGGGTCCTGCCCATAAGGGTTTGTGTTGAGAGTCCTGTGCCTGCTGCACTGCAGCAGCTGCATGACCTGCATCCCAACTGCACCCCAGTCTGAAGCACTTAATTTACTGAGTGGTGGTGAGTTCAGTGGCCACTTGAATTTATGTTCTCAGAATGTGCTGTAATGAATGTGTGTTATTTATTTGCTCTGCGGTAAATAAATACTGGTCTCCTCCTGAACCTAGGAGGGCAGAGGAGACCTTTCTCAGCTGCAGCTGACAGCATGAGCTGGTGAATATCTTTCTCCAAGGGCTGAGACATGGTGAGGAAGGCAGGGAGGGAGAGAGACAAGTTGAACCCCAGGCTTTGTGACTGCAAGACAGCAAGCCAGGAAGAAGCTCAAGGAGAGAGAAAAGTAATGACTTGGCAGCAGGTCGAAGGGGCAGAGCTATTGAGAAGGGTGGCAGGAGGTGCAGCTTTCACTCAGTAGGCTGGCTGGGGCAGGGTGACAGGTCATAAGAGATTAGTGGGTTGATTCTCCCCTCCCTGAATACAGTTACAGGATTATGAGTGATGAGGTGAAATTACAGAGGGGAGACTGTAACCTGAACATTGCTGGCAGCTTCCTGTGCTGAGTGTGGAGATACCTCCTCAGAGGAAGGAGCAGTGGGAAGGGCCTGTTCCTGGAAGCACACGTAGCTCTTGCACCTAAAGCTTACTGCTGGGGACTGTCACCCTGGGGTGTGTTGGTGTGGTTTTCTACCTCTGTCCCTCTGCAGCAGAAGTGTTGGCATAGGGCTAAATGAATACTTGAAGGATTGTGAAGCACTCCAGCAAGAAAAGGGAGAGGGTGGGACCATGGAGTAATGGCTGAGCTTTTGGGGCAGTGGTGAACAGCACAGGCTGGGGGTGGACAGTGTGTCAGCATTCCTTATGACCGTCATCATCCCTGTAAGGGGACCTCACCCCAGTGCTGCCAGGTCATGACGCTCAGTAACTGTCACCAAATCCCCTGCTTTGTTTCCTCGAGGATTGTGAAGATGTCCAGCCCCAATCTCAACATTGTGACCCTGCTGGGCAGTGGCTTGACTTACACAAGTGCTTACCTCTTTGGGATTCAGGAGCAGAGCCTGCCATCTGGAGACTCAATGGAAAAGCTAATTCAGGTGAGCAGGGGTTTGGCTGGGATGGGCCCCTTGACACATGTACAGACCTGTTTGTACGTGCTCTCTCCCAGCCAGCTGTCACCTGTACATGCTCTGTCCCAGCCACAGCCTGTCACCACCATGTTGCTCAGCTGGGCTGTGGCTTTCACATACACACAAAAGGCAGCCAGACACTTTCTGTCTGAATGGGGCCTTTGCTGGTTTGCAAACCACATCTGCACTGAGGTCCCTGGGGGACAGGTCCTGCAGGCAGGCAGGCTGCTGGGCTTGTAGAAGTGCAGCAGGCAGAGGGGACCACAAAGGGAGATGGGATCCTCCACACAGCCATCACTGCCTGACACAGCACAGGTGCTCTAGGTGAGTTTTTTGGCTGCAGAGAAGATCTTCATCAGAACACTCACCTGTGTGATGAACCCCCATGTCCTGGCCTGAGGCAGCCACCCTGCCAGACTGAGGACTGGGCATGCACCCATGTGGGAGAGTGGGATGGAGCACACCCTGCATCCTGCTCAGCCACTGGGCTGTGGATAATTAACAGAGGTGCCAGCAAGTGATTTATGGGTGCTGGGACTTTCTGTGCCCCTGCTGCTCACAAACTGCCTGTCTCTCCCTGCCTGCCCTTCCAATGAGAGTCTCTAGGTAGGCAGAGAAAGGTAGGCAGCAGGCATGCCTACAGAGGAGTATTTGCCTTTGAATTTATTTCACCTTGTAGACAGCTTTCTAGTATCTGGTATCACCCTCCAGAAGTCAGAAGACTTCTTTCTTCTGCTGTCTTCTTTGGCCATCCTTGCTGCAGCCCAGGCTGGGAGGGTGTGTGGTGTCCCTGTGAGCCCTTTCAGCCCCCTTGCTCTGACCCCTGCAGGTGAGGCTGTGCCTGCTGTGCGTGGGGACCTCGCTGGTGTTCGGGCCTGTCCTGGGGAAGAGCTGGCGGCTCTACAAGGTGTTCACCCAGCGGGTGCCCGACAAGAGGGTGGTGAGTACCCAGCAGCTGAGGCGGGAAGGGGGAGGACAGACTTTCCACAGAGGGCAAACACCAGCAAGTCCCAAACCAGTGTGGGATAGCAGATGGAACTGGCACATGACAGGGATGGATGCCACAATCACAGGTCTGGTTTCACACCTGGCTGGGCATGGGCCCTTTATTTATTCCTGCACAGTGAGGCAGGAGCTTTTCCACTCAACAGGAATGTGGGTGCCCTGCCAGGCTGCCTCTTCCCCAGTGGAGTCCCAGCCCCATCACCAAGCAATGTTCTCATTTTACATTGGGCACGTGCTTTTGTTACACTACACACCAATGTTTGTGTTCAGGTCTATTTTCATCCCACAAAAACAATCAGCTGTTTTTGTGGGATGAAAATAAACCAGGTGTCCTCAAAAGCATCTGATCTAGGGCCATTCCCAGATGGATCCATTCTGCTCTTTAAGGCAGGAAGGGAGTGCTGGGCTCTCCTCTGCAGCACTTAAGGATGGGGATTCAGAAACTGGGAGGGAAATGGAAAATTTGTGCACATAAAAGTGTACTTACAACTTTCAGTGGTCACTTTCCAGCAGTGAAAAAAGTAGGTCTCAGATGAAAGATGGGACAAGAGGATTTGCAGGGGAACTGGGTATCAGCAAGGACTCCTGTTTCACACTGGGATCTGTGTTAAATTTGCAGAATGGTGCTCCTACGAGGTGCTTTTGTCTGCCCTTTCTGTCTCCGCTGGTGATATGGTCATAAGGGATGATAGTCTTGTTTTGGAAGAACTGTTTTCTGTCATAGCATTTACCTGCTATCCACACCTTCAGGCAGGGTTTATACCTGATCTCAAGCCTGATTAGGTCTCCAAGAATTTGGGAGTTGAAGACAGAGATCTTGTGGCCAACTCAAATGTCGGTGCTGGACACCTCTCTGGGCAAAGTAGTAGGATAGACGTGTCACTTGAAAGAAACAACAGAAAGGGACCCAAGGGGGATGGAGGTCATTGGTGTCCATTCCTTCCCCATAGTAACTTTTGCTACTTGTATGTTTGCAGATTATCAAAGACCTGCAGTTGCTGGCCATGGTGGCAGCGCTGGTGCTGGCAGACACTGTCTTGCTCTTGACCTGGGTGTTCTCTGACCCAGTCCAGTGCTTCCGAAGCCTCAGCGTCTCACTGCGGGTAAAAGAATGGGGAGGGGCGGGGTGGGGTTTTGCTGTGTCCTATCTGAGCTCTGTGAACAGAGTTAGTGGGTGGCCAGGCATTTGGAGGTGGTCTTTGAGAAACAACAGAAAGAAAAACGAAGCAGAAAACCTTCTGGGCACTCTGGATTTGGTTTATGTCTGGTCTATTACAGAGGTGAGAGTCCACTGCAAAATTTCCAGGTCTGTGCAGATCACCTGCATGGTGCCGGAGGGCTCCAAGGCATCTGCTTTAGAGAAATATTTAACCAGCCCTGGAGGCAGCAGAAGGCCAAAATCTTCTCGTTTAAGACTTTGCCCCTGGTAGCAGCAGCTTTGGCCTCTCCTTTCAGAAGTTTACAGAGACCCGCTTCTTCCCATTGGTCTGTGCCAGCCTTCACGTGTGCCTTTGCCTTGCCTTGTAGGCCACAGAGAAAGGCATGACGTGCTCCGTGAGCCGGGTGCAGTCCTGTGCATCGCTCTATTCCGATCTTTGGCTTGTTCTCATTTTAGGCTTTAAGGTATGTAACCTCTTGAGTGCTTCTTGCATTGTATCTCACCTCCTCCCTGTCTTTCAGCCTAAACTGTTTCGCAGCATTTGTCATTTTGCTGCCCTCCCAAACTACATGCCCATTGCAGATCCCAGCTACTCCTGTTCATCTCATAAGCCTTCCTATTTCCAACCCTTCCCATCTTGGGAAGGGTGAAAGCCCTGCTAGCTGCTTTCTCCTTGCTTCACCATCTCCTCTATGTACACTGTGCACATACAGTCTCTCAAGATCTCTCCTGGCATGCCCCTAGCTTCATCTTGCTTCTTGAAACTCAACATCTTCCTGGTCTTATGTCAACACTCCTTCCCTAAAGACTCCAATGAATGGCCACTGCCAAGGTGGCTCAGTCCCTGTGTCCTGTGACTTCAAACCAAGGAGGTGCTGATGACGAGTGCTTGGTCCCCACCTCTGCAGGATGCTTATCGGGTTAATTATACCTCTGAGGTGCACTTTCACTGGTGAATCTCTGCACATGGCCAGTCTTCTTTCAGCAGGGTTAGTTATACTGATGTAACTATGTTGGTATAATTATCACTGTAATTATCTGTGGTCTCATGTGTCTCTGGTATGGCAGAGGCTGGACACATTTCAGAAAGCTGATGTTGATGAAGCTTGTGAGATCACAGCCTTTTTTTGGGAATGGCTTAATCTCTGCATGCAGCACAGGCACTTTCTTTGTGATTCACTGTAATGTAATACTCACTGACCATCTACCCAGAATCATAGGAAAAAGAGCAGAAAGGGACCTCACGACACAGCCAAGTCCTTCTACACTTAATTTCAAAGTCCTTACAAGTCCTCTGCTGTTAGGTAATGTAGGCATTACCTGGGCTTTCAGTGCTGTGTCTCCACCTCTGATTTTGTCTGCAGTTTGTGTTAGGGTTTAGAGAGGTAATGCCTCTGCCTACAGCCCTTACAAAATCCTTTTGGAAATAAAACATCCCCATAATCAGTTCCAGGTAATCTTTTTAATGTTGTGTTGAATCTGGCCCTGTTCCTTCCTACTTACTGGGGTCATGGAGTATTTCCTTGGTGATTTCTCTGGAGTTAGTCTGGATTTACACTAATGTGAGTGTAGGGTTTATCTCTGCATACATTGCACTTCTTAGCATCCACAGCATTAATGTGCTCAGCCCTTTGGGAAGACACTCAGTGTATTATCCTGGTTTTACTGGCACAGAGCAATGAACAGAAATTACTTGCCAAGGACATGCCTGGAATTAGAAGCAAAGTCCTCTGCTCAAGTTTAAAACAAACAAACAAACAAGCCACTGAGAGTCCTAGTTTAGGAGATGGCAGCGCTGTTGTCTGTGTCCCAGATAGACTGTATGAATTTAAATGGGACTTTGGTGCTGGTTTTTTCCTGCTCAGGGATTAGGGGTTGCCTTGCCTTTGGGCTGTTTGGAGGTGCCCCATGGTGGACACAGTTATGATCCAGTGCAAATTCCACAGAGCAGGGTCAGGCACTGGCCCAGTTCCCAGCAAGGCAGGTTTCACTCTTACAACCCCACCCTGAGACTTCTGCTGCTTTGAAGTTCGGAGTCTCACCAGAGATCTGGACATGAATGTCCCTTGCTTGTGTCCCTCCAGGCCTTAACCCTGGCAGTGGCCATCACAGTCACCAACCAAGGCACAGCACAGAGGGGTTCAGAAGGGTTTAAAAACCATCTGCATCTCGTGTCACAAAGCACTTCTTGATGCCCAAATTACAATGACTCTTAGTAAAAGGCTGACACTTACTGGGTAGCACAGGAATAATGTAGGTCACATTCCCTGTATTCCAGGTCCTTGCAGGAGCTGGGACTTTGTTAGATGGTATTTCCAAATGATCCTGAAGGCAAACCATGCTCAGCTTTATGGAGGCAGGCAAAAAATACTTGTTTCCTGCTAGTGTCACCTAGGGAAGGAGATGCTTATCCTGCTGGGCAGTTTTATCCTGAGCACACTGGCAAAATGCATGCATGAGACCCTTGATGGGGAGGATGGTGAGACAGCCTTCAGTGAAACAACTGCTCTACTTGGGGGGAGGGAGGGCCTCTGTAGAGGCACTTCTGTAGTGCCCTTCCCTGCTGCTGGAGTCAGGAAACAGCCAAGGGAAGGGAAAAGAATTGCACCTGGTAGTTTCCTGGATTATTGCTATTTAAAGAGGCACCAAGTACATCCTTTTCCCTCCAGTCTAAACCTCCATATCTCTTTGCCTTCTTTTTTGAATTCCTTCTGGATATCTTTCCTGCTCCTTCAGAGGTATGCTATTGCTCCTTGATGGCACCCACTGCTGCATTCCTGCAGGAACCTCTGCTTCCTCTCTGTCTGCCTTTGCTTCTCCTGCTCCAGGCTGCTCAAGGGGTGGTTTTCACAATTTCTCCCAGCCATCCCCTGCTCTGTGGCAGCACCTGCTGACCTGTGACTCTTGGCTCTCCACACCCTTTGGTTGGGACCCCCCGTGCCCACCAGTGCCCTCACTGCTGCCCTGTGTTCCCAGCCCCACTGCTGGCCTGCAGCAGCGTGCCGGGCGTTTGCTGCGGCGTCACCGCCGCACGCTGCAGGTCTGCATTACAGATCAAAGAGCATTAATTAGGATTGCGCTGAGCGCGATCTGAGCTCACCGGGCTTGGTGCGACATGGGGCTTGACACCATCGGGCTGTAATTTTCCACACTCTGGAAACCTCTTTTTTCTGTTTCCAGAGTATCCTCCTGCTGTACGGGACCTACTTGGCCGGTCTGACCGACAACGTCAGCTCCTCTCCAGTGAACCAGTCCCTGACACTCATCGTCGGGGTCAACCTGGTTTTCCTGGCTGCTGGTACCATCTGCTTAGTTCACCGTTTCTTCCGTACTTGGCACAATCTGCTGTTTGGTTTTACCTCTGGAGGCATCTTTGTGTGTACAACCACCATCAACTGCTTCATCTTTGTCCCACAGGTATGCTACTACCTCTGTCCTGTCACTTGGCTGGAAATAGGCACGTTTTGGGAGTTTAACAACAGCAGCCGTGGGCATCAATGCACTCACTTTCCTGCTTTTTCTCCCCAAATGTTTGGACTCACCTGCACAGCTCGTTCTCCAACCCCCACCCCACCCCACCCTGGTGGTTCTGCTTCCCCAAGCAAGTTCCCTGAGTCTCAAAGAATCACAGAATTGTTTGTATTGGAAGGGACCTAAAGATCATCTGGTTCCAACACCCCAGGAAGCTTCCACCAGACCAGGCTGCTCATAGTGCCATTCAGACTGACCTTAAATGTTTCCAGGGATTGGGCTATCCACAACTTCCCTGGGCGAGCCTGATCCAGGGTCTCACCACTATCATAGTGAAGAATTTCTTCCTTGTATCTAATCTAAATTACTCTCTTTTCAGTTTAAAGGCATTCTCCTTTGTCCTATCACTGTGCCCTTCTAAAATGTCCATGTCCAGCTTTCTTGTTCCTTGTCCCCTTCATGTCCTGGAAAGTCTCCAAGGAGTGCAGCACTGCTGCTCAGAAACCCTCCTGCAGGAACGTGCCCCAGGTGACAGCCACGCAGACAGCACACATGAGGCGAGGCAGCCACTGGCCTCCTCCTCCTGCTCCATGCAGGTGGTGGGATGTGTCCTTTGTGCAGTTGTCCTTCCCTCATGCCTCATGTGCCCACTTGCACCAGGAGCTCCTGCCACTGGCAGCGATGGAACCGGGCACAGACCATCCAGATGGCCCAGCCACTCTCAGAGACTTCGCTGCTGCTGGTGGTCCCCAGGGGAGGCTGTCCTCCTCTGCACTTTTGGAGAAGGAAGCTGGGCTTTGCCACAAGCAGGGAGGAGGAGGAGGTGTTTAAAGGAAGCCTTTTGTGGTGAGCCGAAGCACTTCTGCTTCCTGTGTCCTCCAGGAGCAGCCTGGTGTGCCTGGCCACCACGTTAGTGGGAATAATGCTCCCATTGTTACAGGGAAGGGAAGCAGTTATTTACTTAGTTGAATGTTTGGAGGGATGTTTGGGCTCAAGGACATGAGGTGAGAAAGGGAGGAAGAGGTGAAGCTGAGGAAAGCACATCTGTGCAAGGGAGGGCTCAGGGGATCTCAGCAATGTATATAAATATCGTTGGGGGTGGAATAGGGAAGGGGGAGCGACGCTCTTCTCAGTGGTATCCACTGACAGGACAGGGGACAATGGGCACAAACTGAAACACAGGAAATTCTATTTAAACATGAGGAAAAGGCTGGAGTTTTTTCTGTGAAAGTTGTAAAGCACTGGAGCAGAATGCCCAGAGAGGTTGTGGAGTCTCCATCCTTGGAGATACTCAAGGCCCAGTTGGACAGTCATGAGCAGGCTGCTCCCTCTGACATTGCTTGAGCAGGGCACTTGGGATGATTTCCAGAGGTCCCCTCCTGCCTCTTGAGGCAGTGTAACTGCAGAGCAGCCTTTGGGAGCAAGGATCCAAACCTCCTCTGGTGAGCTCCAGGCCTGCTGGAGCACCAGGTCTCTCGGACTGAGGGTAGAGAAGCTGATGAGCTGTACTTTCACTCTGCCTGTACCATTTTTCTTTGGGAGCCTGGGGCCCTTGAACATTTTATTTAACTTGGATCCTTTAATTCATTACCTTGTTTTTCCTAATGGGCTTGCTTTTCTATAGCTCATCTGAGATCGATAAACAGCTGGAGCTGGGCTGCACAAGGCTTCCAGGCAGACACTAGATGAGAAAATAGATACTAAAAATTGCTGGTTTTCAGCTTGTCACCAGTGATTCAGGGATAACGGGGCAGGCATGACACTGTCTTTGTCTGTCATGGAGTCAGGGAGTGGGGAGAAGAGGGAGGGGGCTTTTACAGTGTGCTCAGCAGTCTCAGTGCAGCCAGGCACTGACCCTCTCCTGCATTAAAAGCTGGAGCCAGAACAGGGTAGGGCTCAGATGGGTGGGAGGCTCCAAGTGACACTGCAGCCCCTCGCCCAGCCATCTCTGGCTGGCTGTCTCTGCTCCACCCTGCCTTTGTCTCCCCCTCTCCATCCCTTTGTCTCCTTCGCGCTTGAGCTGTGCCTGCCTCCCGCTGTGTCGGCCGGGGGCTCTGTGGATAACACCCTCTTCTACTCCCCAGCTCAAGCAGTGGAAAGCCTTTGAAGAGGAAAGCCAAACCATGAGCCACATGGCAAAATATTTCACCAGCCCGAGCAGGAGCTGCCGCTCAGTGTACAGCGAGGAGCAGCTCTACCAGCTCATAGGGGAGAAAAACTCTATGAAGCGGCTGCTCACCGAGGTATGGGGCTCTGCCAGCCCCCCTCCTCCAGCTTCCCTCCTTCCCTTTTGTGGGTTGAAGGCTTTGCAGGGTGGGAAGCCCTTTTTTACACCCCTGTCCACACTGGTGATCCCTCACCACCCTCTTCCTTCCTGAGGGGAAGAGCTGCTTTGTTTTGTCACACTCCAAAGCACCACAATTTAGGCATAATTTGGAGGGCTTAAAAGAATTCTGTAGGGAGGAGCACAAGAGAGCCTGGTTCCCACAGCCTTGTCAAACATGGTTAATTTAGAGGGGAGATGCTCTGTCTCAGAAAAGCCCCCAGGCTCCTGCTCCATCCCCTGCACTGGGCAGGAACACCCCAGCCTGAAGAGCTGCCTGCCCAGTGAGCCCCTTCCCACACACACGTCTGGGGGGGCTGCAGGGGAGGCTGAGGTCACACATGCTGCTGGTGTGGCTCTTGCCATGCAAAGAGGGGTGATTTGTTTTCTGGCAGTGCCTGCTTCCAGACTGGCAGCGTTTTCCTCCTCCCTGCCTGCCCCACACTTGACAGGCTTATTTGTTTGACACAGAAAAACGCCGTGATCGAAAGCCTGCAGGAGCAAGTGAGCAGCGCCAAGGAGAAGCTGATGAGGCTGATGTCTGCGGAGAGCGGCTGCGACCCCCGTGTGCTGCCAGCAGCTCCCTGCACCTGGAGCTCAGGGCAGCCTGGGGATGCACCAGGGGACTGCTGCCCCCCGGATCCAGGGAGGGATGGGTGGCAGCCCCCCTGCTTGCTGGGTTCATCACCTCCTGGCAGCAATGCTCAGGCTCTCCAGAAAGATGCAACCCAGGAGCCTGTTTGCCCTCAGGTGCTGCTTTTTAATGGAGGGGACAGCATTGAACGTGGCCTGAAAGATCTCCAGGAGTGTGGGACACCTGCAGTGCAGGAGCAGCCTTCAGAGCAGCTGCTAGGCCAGGACAACTCAGCTGGTGTAGCCTGGGAGTCATCCCCCAAAATCAGCTATGTAAACAGCGAGAAGCTGTGGGAAATCTTGCAAGAGTTAAGCCTGGATGGCAAAAACCACAGCCCAGCCTTATCTGCAGGACCCCCACTTGGCAACTGGGGCACCTCAGGCGAGCAGGGAGAAACACAGGTGGGCCAGGAGTGCTACCCAGGCATCCACACATCCCTCAGCCCCTACCTGGCAAGGCATCAGCGGAGGATCCCATTGCCCCCTGCCTCCACACGCTTCCCTGGACACGTATCCCCTCGTGCCAGCTGTAGGGTGAAGGAGGTGGGCAGCTGGGGCCGTGGGGAGTCAGCACAAAACTCCCTGGGAAAGGGAGGGGACATGGCTGGCAGAGGGCTCCTTCATGGCCCAGCACCCTCCCCTGCAGCCATCCCGAGGGAGGCCAGCCTCCAGCCAGAGGGGCGGCTGGGATGGCCCAGGGAGTCCCAGGGCGCCTCACCGTGCATCCCGCAGGAGCGGCGGCGGCGGCAGGGCAGGCCGAGAGGCCCCGCGGAGCCCTCCCTGCGCTCGCTGTACTATTACCCAGACTCTGACTCCAGCAGCAGCAGCAGCTCTGAGGAGATGTTTCATGGCTGCCACCGACCCTGCTGCGAGGTTTGCTTCCAGAGCCCTCGTGGCTCCCTGGACAGCAGCAGCACGGACACGGACACAGAGCCCAGTGACTGTGAGGATCGCCAGACAGAGCACCACGGCGGGCCCCAGCCTGTGGTGAATTTCAAAGAGGATCTGAAACCCACTTTTGTGTGACTGGAGCACCCCTGTCCCAAAGGCAAGTGCCTTCCCACCCCCACAACACTGCGTGTTCTCTGCAATGCTGAAGCCACACATCCCTCTGGGAAATGTGCCTTGTTCTGGAATGTGGGGATTTGCCCCATTCTGATCTGCAGTGTCAGCCCCAGCCTGGTCAGCCTGCAGCCTGAGTTTGGCTGAGAGGGGCTTGGCAGCACTCAGGGAGGTGGCGGTGGCCTTGTCCTGGCTACTCTGGGCAGCAGCCTGTGTCCCACAGGTAGCAGCAGTTCTGTCCATCCTGGTGCCAGCAGTGGAGAAACTGGGGCTGGGGGTCTGTGAGAGCCAAACCTAATCTCCTCAGAGAGCTTTCTCTCTGAGACCTGTGTGATTTGCTCTGGCAGGGAGCAGCATCCTGCCTCAGAAACAACCATGGCTTCTTGCACACCTCTCCATATGGACTGATAGAGGACTCCTTGCCCTGAGGCTGCCCAGGCAGAGCATCCCACTGGCGTCAGCCTCAGCTGGGGATGGGTGACAGATGCCAGAAGCAGTTGCAGGCTGCCACGCACCTGGGGTGTGCTGCTTCCCGGCAAAACAAGGACTTTGGAATGAGAAGTGCACAGCAAACTTTTGGGTTTTGGTGGTTGTTTTTTTTTTTGTAACATCTGAACAAGAAAATGAAGTCCAAAGGTGATATTTTTGGAGGTATCTTTGCATTTTGTGTTCTTCAGGTGCATCGTTGTAGGTGAGACTCAGGTCAGAGCTGAAGGGAAAGACAAGCTAGCCATTGTAAAGGAGGATCTGAAAAGGGGGTTCTTTTTTTACCTTGATTTCTGGATCTTGTGCCCTTCTGTCTGTCTTTGTATGGATGATATAGTCTGGAATAAGGTTTGTTTAAATTAATATACTCTGTTTTTTATTTTAGAAACATCAAGAACAGTAAATCCAGTGTGTGTGCCTTTTTGGGATATTTATCATGGCGTTTGAGCTTATCGTTGCTTCCACAGGAGTTCAGGATGCTGAGACCTGATGCCCAGTGCAATATAAACCTTCTGGAGAAGGGCTGGATTAAAAAAGCAGGTGTCAGAGGAATCCCAGAGCTGGTTTTGAACAAAGCATGTTAGCACTGCCCTCTCCATTACCCTTCATGATGGTGAAATCCCTCACTTCTCTCTCCCTTCACTCCTTCGCTGGTGTCACCCTTTTTTCCCCTGTTGCCTCTGCAGTCTTCCAAGCTTGCATGTAGGGTAAATCATCAAACTCAGTAATGTTATGAGGAACAATATTTCCACAGCCCCTGTTTGCTTTTAAAATGGAAACACCCCGGACAGAGTGTAATCCTTTTTTTCTTTTTTTTTTTTGGTCACTTTTTTGCTAACAGAAACCGTTCTCTTTCAGTTTTGTCTGAGCACTTGTGGCTGGAGAAGTGCACTGACTGGAGAATCACCTGCGTGTGCAGGGCAAACCCGGGGCCCGGCGGCTCCCTGCAGTGGGACTCGGGATCTCTGTCCCCGTGCCCTGCCAGCCGCCTGCAGTTCTGCAGCGCTCGCAGCAGGTGCTGCTGCTGCCACGCCGGGCGTGCCGGCAAACACCAAGGACATCCACGGCATCGCCACGCTGGGACAAGGGGGGGAGACAAGCACGCTCCAGGGACCCTATTAAATATGGGTCAAAACCTCTCCCCACCCCCAAACGTGTTTAGAATAACACTTTGCTCTGGGGCTGGGAAATACTTCAACACAGTCAAAGGAAAAGATCAACCATGAACCCACCTGGAAGCAGCTGATATAAAAATTAACTTTAAATCCACTGGTGAATGCAGAAAAACCCTCCAGAGGACTTTGAACCTGGGGTTTGTTTGGAAACTCACTGCTGGAATTTGAGGTCGTTGCTTTTCTGTGCAGTGACCAGCAGCCACCACCTGAAAACTGCATAGCCTGTGGATGCACCTACTAAGAAGGCCGAGAGCCCTGTGGTTTGTGTCATAAATAGTGTGCCCAGCAGGACCAGGCAGTGATCATCCCCCTGTATTCAGCACTGCTGAGGTCACAGCTCTAATCTTGTGTTCAGTTCTGGGCCCTTTCCTTGCTGATTGCTGTTAGGGGAAGGGTCACGTTAGAGACAGGATGAGATCTCTCTCCATGCCTGCTTGGTGGGCCTTGGTAAGAGGCAGGAAGGTAAGGAAGCCCTGAGGCTCTTGTGCCACAACCACCTGCCATGGCTCAGTCTGCCTCTGTTACCCCGTCAGCTTGCCACTGCTTAGGAAATAAAAAAATTGATTGTGATTCAGCTGCTAGTAAAAGAAAAGAGAAAATAAAAGAGGAAAAAAGATGAAAAGAGCTTTGTTAGTATGGCAGAGAGGGATTATGACAGGCTCTCTGGCATGGGAGTGCTCACCATTGGTGTGGAGATTTCCCTACTGCCTCCTGTTGGCATTAGCAGCTGGAATCTCTGGGAACTTCTTGCTCTGATCTTTGATACTGGGTGCAGTTATGAGAAATAATGAGTGTTTGAAAGTACTGCAGGAGAGAGAACCTTCTGGTGTCCTTTGCCTAGAGTAACCAGACTGTGCAATCTCTGGACACAGTGGTGCCACATCTGTGTGGAGACATTCCTGGCACACTGGGGAGCAGAAGTCAGGGGCCCTACAACTCCAAGTAGCCTGTGCTGCAGGTTTTGAGGAGGTGAGGGAGAACCCACATCTGTACATGACGTCCACAGGTCTGGAAGAAGCTCCAGAAAAGTTTTCCTTGAGGCTGGTGGCCATGAGGACTTTGGAGAAGTGCTCTCCTCCTGAGCAGCATTGCTCTCCTGAGCCAAGAAACCAGGTCTATCTCTTCCCTTGTCTGGTTTTTCAGGGCTGTCCTCTTGGCCTCTGCCTCCAGCTGTGCACTGCTGAATTGCCAGCTGCTGCTGTTTCCCCAAGGTCTACGCTTGGAGCCACTTGTGAGGACACCAAACTTATCAGTATAAGCTGCATCCTGATTGCTGGCCTTGTGCTCAGGCAGAAAGTGCTTGGGGAACTCCATGGAGACAGGGAAAAAAATACCATTGAAAGAATTGTGGATCCTGGCATGGCAGGAGAACTGTGGATGGCTCAGTGGTTGATGTTCACCGCAGGGACTTTCTGCTACATGACACAGTCATGCCCTATGGACCTGATCGATCCCTGCACACACCTGGCTGAGCAAGTGCAGGGGACACTACCACATGCTTCCAAGAGTTTCTTTCTCTCATGAAGACTGTGTATTGAAGCTGCTGGAGCACATTCACCTTGGAATGTGTACCTCTCAGTGTTTACAGTGGGGTTCCTTGCTTTCACACCCACACCACCACCTTTCCCCTGTGTAGAGGTGCATGAAGCTGAGCTGGTTTTCTTCTAACTCAGGCGTCCGTAGCTGCGTGCTTTGTGCTGCCAGAGCACAACCATTTACGTAAGGTTTGTTGGGGTTTTTTTGTCCTGGAAGTTCTTTCAGACAGGATGGGTACGAGGGACTTTGTCCTGCCAGGCAGCTAGATAAAGCACTCAGTGATTCAGCATTTATTGCACCCTACACAGATTCCTCTGTTATCATACCAGCAGGAATGTGGGGCTAGAAGGGATCTCCTAGTCATCATCATATTTCCCAGCAATGACAAACAGTGAGTCATAAAGTCCCTCTTGTTAATTTATCACAGTCCATCTTAAGTCATTGGGAATTTTCTTGGCAGGTTATTCAAGAACTTCACTTTGACAGAAGGAAACTTGTTTCTGATCTGCAGCCCACATTTTTTCATAGCCTATTTTTGTCTACTTGTTCTCATGCCAGTGCTATCTTCTAGCTAGTAGCTGTGCTTCCTTCCCTTCTCCAACCTACTCTCTTACATGCCGATGAAGAATGTGGCCTCTTCTTCCCAGGATCCCTGGTCTACTCAGAGAAGAGACTGTCTATTTTTAGTTCCCTCTAGCAGCTCATACCTACCCCTCTTTCAGTCTGCAGGAAGGCTTTGAGGAAGAGCCCTGGTTTTATTGCTACCAGGTCATACCCTTCCCTTGGCAGCCATGTGAGCATGGCTTTATACACTGTTCCCTGCCTCCAGCAGCACAGGAGGCCCAGCATTCTGGGACAGAATCATGCTCCCTTTGAAAAGGGAGAAGAAACACTGATTGGGAGTTAGGGTATCAGAAAGCCAGACCAGAAGCAGGCAAAATTCCAGAGGCTCATCAGGAAGCTGACATTTTCTCTGCAAGTCTGCAATGGCCCTGGGGTTCCCAGCACCCATCGGGTCCTAGATTTACCACCAGCATGTTAAAAATCTCACAGAAGGGCTGTTCATCCCTGTTTCCTTTCAACACACCTCCTGCAATTGCTGAGAGATGCACCTCTACCTGGTGAGTGCAGAAACCATGAAGAGCTTTTACTTCTTGGAGTTTCCCATGGCTTAGAAAATCCATAAGGATTTTCTTAGAAAGCCCCTGGTACCTCTCGAGGGGTTCACAGAAGGGGAAAATGAAAGCACACCCCTGTGCAGTGTCCTGATGATATGATCCAACATAGGAATAGCATGGATATTTTATTGGAAAAGGTGAATATAATGAGCAAGGCACCCTTCTGGAGTGTTCACAGGCTTCCAGCAATTGCATCTCATATCTAACCTAAATGAGTCGGGTGATATTTCAAACCAAAGAGAACAGCAGGAATAATATTAGCTGATGCAATCGCACCTTGAATTTACAGCAGTGCTAGGCTGCAAATGCTAGTGCTAGATCCATGAACAGTAGGGTACTCTGCACATGATTACAGCAAATTCAAACCCTGTTTGAAAGCAGCTGGCTTTTGGTTGGGTATTTTTTAACAGTCCCCCAAGTAGAGGTGGTGGATAAAGACTTCTTTTCCTCTGACAGGTGAGTCTTACATTGATGGTGAACTACACTTTGGCAAGTATCAGTTCATTTCCTTGCTATTACAGCCTTTTTCATGCCAGTAACAAAAACACATTTAGAGCTCTCCTGCTTCTGCAGTCCATTCTTCACAACC